AAGAGGTGGTTTCTGTGCTGAAACTGGGAAAGTCTAAGTAGGTAAATGGAGGACACCCAAAGTCCAAGGATGAGCTGGAGCAAAATTGGTGATGTTGGATTTAATATGATTGACAAGCATTTGCCTGGATGTATCACCAGATACAGTGAAACATAAAGAAAAGCCAAGGTAGTCAGATGCCAGATTTATAAGAAATGACTAAACTAAGTTGAGTTTGTGGGCTTAGAGTTGGAAAGTCATTAAGTGTCACCCTGAAGACGTAAGCTTGTGTTTGGCTGGAACATAAAAGAAAAATAAATTATTGACTAGAAAATATAGCATAGAATCTTGAGGACAGGAAATGAAAGCACCAATTGGAATGCTTTGTGAAGAGCACAAAGAAGACCATAGATAAAATTACTTCTTAAATTCTACCACATGCTGAATATACTATCTGGGACTACATCATGTGACCTTTATGATTCCAGGGATGACATAATAGATACCAAGATTCCAGGGCCGGTTCCTGCATTTATCTCCTGTTCCAAACTATCCTAACTTAACACTTTTAATACTTTCCAGGATGAACCAGAAACAACTTAGTATTTTTCCCTCTCTCCATGTTTTAGACATTTTCCAAATTCTTCCATTTTCTCTTCTTACTTACGAGAAATTACTTAAATTTACTCCCATATTGTTCCATCAAAAGATCATATCAAATATTTCTTATTTTCTTTAAATGGTAACTTAGTCTCCCGTTTAACTCTTAACTCTATTTAAAAAATAAGGAAAGGAAAATACAGGTACAAATCTATGTTTATTGTTCAAGTAAGAAAAATGCAGATATTTGTCGACATTTGCCAACATCAATTTTAATCTTTGTTATCCTGCATGATCTGATAGTGTTCTGGGTGATCTGTTGTAAATAGGATGACGTTCATAAACTGAAGACGGCTGATGAGTTGGCCTTCGAAGAGAGGTAGCTGATGTATCAGTTATCACTGGCACTGGAAACCATGGGTTGCTCCCTGGTTGACGTTAAGAAAAATGACCTTCATTGGCAGATATTTTGTGATATCAATTTGTAAAAGTAGAAGGCTCCAACATCAGTCCAAAATAATTGTTCTGTATTGGAGACAAGATGCTGTACTGTGAAGTAGAATTTGTAGTTGTAATGGAGTTCACAACATGGCCATTTATTTAGTGTAGCTGCTTTGAGAGTGCCCGTGGACAGTGGTCAACTGATTTAAAATAGCACGTTGATCCAATGCAATTTGTTCTGGTAGTCTAACTGACATTGATGATGGAGCAGAAAAATCACTCTGATCGTAGTAGTTGTACCACTAATTATGTGGCTAGTAGAGGGCTTTCTTATTAGACGCATGTTTAAATTTGCAGAAGGTAAAAATGCACTTTCTCCACTAGTGTCAGACACAAAACCAGAATTATGATTATCCATATTACCCCCTGCTTTAAAGTGCTTCATGTCAAAATCTTCAGCCAATGAAGATAACAGAGAGGCATTTTTCATCCCAAGTCTTCTTTTCATTCCCACTGAAAGCTGGGGACAGCCTCGTTTTATATTTGGATTATGGTAGAACTGCATCTACAACCAAAGGAGAAATTTTAGTAATATATAAACCAAAATACAACACAACAATAAACCTAACTTATAAAACCTCAGATTCAATGCTTACTCTGCAAAGATAATATCGTCAAAATATGAACATTCCTGACTATATTTTGAAATTCCTTATTTGGAAAATACACATTTAAATATTATAGTCCTCAAATTGAAGAATTTATCATTTGCGGTAATGGTGAATGCCAATTTGAAAAGCAGCTTTAATACATTTACTTAGATTTCTGGAAAGATTCATAGTTGCAAGCAAAATTTCTTATAATCTTGAATAATAAAGGCACTGTCTTCATTTTTTAGAAAAAATAAAGAATTTTAGCCTTATTATTTTTATACAATTTTCAAAATCTATATTTAAATTTATATTACCATAGACTGATGTATGAAATGTAATTTTATATATGTTACCAAGTGGTAACTAAAATTTCTGAATCCATTTCTTAAAACTGAGACACCTTTTTCTTCTGCCAGAAAGTCAGCTAGGCAAGCAGATATTTGAAAATTCTAACTCACTTTACTAAACACATAAAGGTTAAGCTGTCTAACTAAACTTTTCATATTTCCAGTTTCAAATATTCTGTAAGGGGCCTTTCTTTCCAAAACTTCCTTCTTAAAGACATCTTCATCAATCACTATGGAAGTTCCATTAACATCCCACCAAATGGATTTAAATTGGTCACTCCCAGGCATTTTCCATAGGTTTCTTGTAAATGTCAGAGAACGAAAATCATTATCTTCATCTGGTTCAGAGACACGTTGTGTGTAACATGGTCTTTTTATCAAGGATTCCTCAGACAAAGTCTGAAAAGCATTTTCTTCAAACATAGACCTCAAGTCCAAGTCTCCAGAGAATGTTTGATCAAACAATATAGATCTATCGGAGTTTCCTGAGCCAGTTGGTCCATCTTTATGAGACACATCCTGAATTTCTGAAGAAACATGTGCCATCTCAAATAACTTTTTGTACATCTACTTTTCTAATCTGCATGATTTTGAGCACTGCAGCCTCAAATGCTGCTTTGGCAGGCCTGCT